ATAACTGGATTTTATCGTCTGTAGTTGGAATATACTTTGCAGCAAACCGTGCTTTTTCATTGAATTGAGTCTCATAATCATTCATAGTCATTCATCCCATGTTTAAGCTCGATGATTTCTTTCTCCAATCTTCTCCTCATGTCTAGAGGATAATACTTTCCTAGCAAGCGAGTTTTGAACATCTCCCAAGATAAATTCTCTTGGTCATACTTGTTAAGAGCTTCGAATGTTGCTTCCCACCAGACCAAGGCTTCTCCGATGAGCATTGCAGAAGCATAATTGGCATTGTCTTCATTAACCACTTGAGAGATACAAAGTACTTTTTCTGTGTTTTGGATCCATGTAAGAACAACAATGGGATTAAGAACACCTGAAAACTCCGTAGCACCATTACTCTTGAAATTTTTGAATGAGGGACGTTTCACCTCCCATTTTGAAGATTCTCCGATGGCTTTCTCTTTACCTTTATCACTAACCTTTTTGTGTTCTTCAATAGTCTGTCGAATAACACCGATATGTTTATCCACAAGTCGCTCCTCATGTGGGGATACTGGAGTATTTACTTCATTAGGATAAGGATCTCCACCCACATCTGGTGTATGGCTACTCACATGTTCAGCCATTGCTCTGAAATTTTGAAGTAATATAGTATTTTATAATATTAGGATCTATTATTACCTAATACTTCAATTAAGTCTTTCCTATGGTTTGTATCCATATTCTTACAATGAATCTGTTCATATATTGAACTTCCAATAGTTTAAGTCTAGATACCAATCCATGAGATTTAGTTCACTTAAACTATTGCTCTGATACCATGAGTGTTAGAACCCCTACTTCTCTAGTACCTTTATAATATTACTCCAAACATACTACATGCATATTCATAATATAATTTACAGAAGTCTGGATACAAACCAACTATTAAGATTTTTACAAAGTTTTATATATTACGTAACTTCCTAGGAATTTATATACTAAGTACAAAAGTGATAATATTAACTATTCTACATCTTCTACCAGTACATGACTATACTGGATGCTTATCACCTGCAATAGTTTAAACACTGAGAGGGATAAGAGAGTGACACTTAGTGAGTTCAATAACAGTTACAACATAACGCTATGCCATATATATATATATATATATATATATATATATATATATATATATATATATATATATATATATAGAAACAAAGAGGCACAAAGAACAACAAAGGTAGATGAGTATTATATGAAAGGATTTCCATATTAACAAATGATATGATTCAAAGATTTACAACCAATGAAATACAACAATTTCAACTTGATATACATCAATAAGACTTCAACCCAAGTGGCCTAGAAAATACAATTTTGAATTATCATTTTGCTAGAATATACATGCTTTTAGCCGTATCTAGCGTTCTACCAATACCAAAGTGATACGAGTCATTCTCTGTATGGATAAAGGCACAAAGCCAATACCATAGTGATACGAGACATGCTCTACGTGGCCAAATGCTTCATACCAATACCAAAGTGATGCTTAGTCATTCACTTCATGGTCAAAGGTATAGCTCCATTATCATAATAAAACGGGAAAGCACATTGCACATATAACACATAACATACAATTGTTCCTATATTGAACTCACTGTGAAATATCCGATTGATAAAATGATAATTTGGGCAACACTTCGTCTCTAAAAATGACTTTCTGTGACGAAACCAGGGATTTTTGTTGAAAACCGGGCCTTATCTGGGTAGAGATTCAACTTGAAAAGATTATTTTCTCGGGTATTCGGTGCGTCGGGGCTTGCTTCGGGTTTCGGGGATATTTCCTTGGCTTCGGGGGTGTTAGGGTAAATTGAGAGATGAAAGAGGGTGTGAAAGTGTTAAAATTGTAAACAAAATTCGGAAGATCTCGCTTTCTATTTATAGTACCCGAAGCTCAGCATTATGCTGGGCGTAAATATCAGTACGCAGGGCGTACTGCCTTGAGAACTTCTACGTTGGGCGTACATCGAGTAAGCTGGGCGTACTAAAGGATCATCTCGGACGCGTCAAGGCTACGAACACGTGTAAGCCATGCGAAGTAGTAGGCGGTGTAGCCACTCTCGGACCGTGTACACAAAAGTATGCTGGGCGTGCATACCTTGTACGATGGGCGTATATATCTGTACGCTAAGCGTACCACTTGGTACGTTGGGCATTCTTACAACCTCGAAATTTGTGCCTAAAACTTCCAAATTTCATATCTTTTGCATACGAGTTCCGTTTTTCATGTTCTTTATATCCACGCGTAGGTGAAATTATACTCTACAACTTTTGTTTAAACTCAGTCGGCTAATTTTAACTTTATTTTTTAAAGTTATATTTTAACAGGTCGGGACAGGAAAAGTTCGTTAAAAACTCATAACTTCTTCATTCGATGTCTGTTTTCGTCTGTCTTTTTACCGTTGAACTACAATCAACAAGATCTTCGATTATCGTTTAGATTGTGTTGGATGAAAACCGCTCGATCTATAATTCGAATTTCAAGCTGAAAATTACTATGTCAATTCTTAGAAAAATCATAAGTTCCTCATACGAAGTCAGATTTGGACGTTCTTTTTATGAAAGTTCCCGGTTTAACGAACACTACGACTTTCATTTAGGTCATAAAGGCTAAAAAGTAGTTTATCATAAATTCATTTTTTACGTCATATGACGTCGTGCCGATTTTATCGCGAAACTTCAATAAGTCATAACTTCTTCGTTATAACTCGGATTTCAGTGAGGTTTTCGCCTACATGTTTCTAACAAAATAATTTACAACTTTTAATAACATTATTTTTACTTATTTCTAACTTAAATTTTACATTTTCGTTAATTTCAATATTTGACTTTTGATTGGAATCTTATAAGACTTCCCATCACTTTCCGAATGATTCTAAACATAGTTTTACTTCAAACCCCATAAAACTATCTTGTTAGAACGCAACGTTCAAAATCATATATTATATATTAATATTTACTTTTAAGCTATCAAAACACGATAACTGAACGTGTATGTTACAATTGGCACTAGGGCAATGCACCTTGCAAGGCACAATTATCGATGAACGTCCCACCAAAGGGCCTTGACCTTGTGTCATGCTAAACTGCGGAAATGTCTTCGGATATTTTTGTCACAAGATGGTTTTGTGAGTTATTCCTATTTAACTCTTACTGGCATTAGAATGGTACACTCAGCTGAGATTCAGTAACGATTGAACATCTTGCCAATGGCCAAGTTAATTTGTTAACTTGAAAACGGTATTGAGATCTTTGATCGCAAATATGCAGGGGCTAACATCAAAAATAGTCATGAGTAGTTCTCCGATATTCAACAAATCGCAGTGCATCCTCCGTGTTCACACAGATACTGCGAGTAGTCTCCATATGAGCCAATGTTGGGTCCTTGAATAATTGTGGTGAGAAGGGTCTTTATGAATCTGTGATCCACGTGGACTTTTTAGTCATGGCTACTTTTCAAGACACATCTGTGATCGTTAAAGAACATTCATTCGAAGGAACTAGAAGTGAAGATTATTTTTCAACACTCAATCTTCCAACCCTAGAAGCAAGGTGAAGTTGTATTTGAAGTTATGTGTCGAATTGCATTGAATCCTCCTCAATCAATTTGCTGCTATTTACGAACTTGCTGAAGTGATCTAGAAGAATCAGTCTCTTTGTTATTATCTCTGATGTTTCTCAAAGCTGAAATTGCTGATTTACAAGAAGCCTCTATACCTAATGTGCATTCAAAGTCAAATTTGAGGGAAGTCCAACCACTAAAGATAAAGTTATTCATGTAGAAGATTCATATGTACATCTTGTAGTCAAGTCGTGAAGAGATCGAGGAAAGAGCTGAAAATCAAGATCAAAGAAGACTAAAAAGAAAAGAAAACTATAAATCAAGGGGTTGATTGTTATGACATAAATTTGTGGTTTATACTTTGCTTTTCAAGGCTTTTATAGTTCTCGGTTTAGGACCGAAATTTCCAGGATTTCGGTGGTACTTGGACCGAAATCACCATGTGATTTCGATGGGTTCATTGATGATTTCGGTTGGGTTATTGGGTTGGGCTTTTGTAATTAGGTCTAGGTATATATAGTAGTATTTTAGCTGTGTAAAGAGTTAGTCAGTCAGTTAGTTGGTCGATTCTAAGAAGCACATATCGAATTTTAGAGAGAAAGAGAGAACCGAGGGTTGTTCATCATTTGCGGTATTCAACTGTTAAGAGTTTCTTTGTGTACCAGACGATTTATCTAATAAACCGTGTTCATTGAGAATTATTTGTGTGTTCTTGAATCACTATCTGATTTATATTCCACATTCTTTAGATAGTTTGATTGATATCTTATCGAGCTAAGTGTTTTGGGACTTACAGAAGAATCTTTAGCAAAGCCTCCTTCTTAGTTTTGAAAAAAATATTTCATTCTGAGCTGTAATTGAAGAAATTCTTTAGTGATGTAGTTTTGCATACTATAATTTTTTTTTCTCATAAGCTTGGTATTATAAGTGCAACTTCTTTTGTTGCTTTGAACTTGGTGACGATGAGTTTATACATAATTTGTCGCTATTAGAGCTTCTGGTATAGACATGTAGTTTTTTCAAGCATTTTGTAGACATGCAAAGACCATCCTTGACCAAACTAACAAAATCCATATCGGCAAAGACCAATTGGAGAGTGACTTTGGGGCCTATACCGTCTCTACTCTAAGATCACATTCTACTACAATGTCTTTTTGAATTAAAAAAGACATAATCGTTGGATTGGGTGAACTTAGAATTCCATTTTGGGCTTATTGTTAGACTCGGGAGTTAGGATGTTGGGACGCAGGGAGTCCAGGAGAAAGGCCCAAATCAATAAAAGTGGAAAGCCCAGGTAAGTTTTAAACACATTTACCTGTCGAGTGCTGCCGGAAAACCCTTTTGTTAAACCCTCTCCACTCGCCAGCACAACACACAAACGAAAACGTCCTCCGTCATGGCCGACGTCGGAACTATTCGAACATTTGTAGATTTTCTGAAGGTTCATGGTCTACTACTTGCAGCTGCCGGTATTCCTCAGTCACTTTACCGGAAACTCTTTGAGAAGCTGTCCACTGAAACTTTCGATGGCGGCAATTACTTCCAGGTGGAGCCGGTAGAGGATGGGCGACAAAGGCGTCTTGTTCTCACCACCTCGAATTCCATGGGAAAAGAATCAAACATTTTTCTCGTTGATCATGCTTTGTCCTTTCGACTTTCGGATGCCCCCAAACAGGTTAAGTTGCTTCCTATACAGTCTTCTGTAACTTTATCGTGTTCGAGTTCGGATTAAGCCTTCATTATAAGTGAACCGACATCGATGGGATTCTATTGTATACTCAACTTACATTTTGTTAAGACCAGGCTGCATCTTCTATTGTGTTAATCTACATTGATTTGAATTGTATGTACTGTTTTAACTTTTAACAGCTGCAAGAAGTTCCAGGGTTGGTAGAGAGAATGGCTTCATTGATGTGTGTGGATATTGATTTGAATTCAGACGATGAAGATGCAGATAAAGAGGATATCAAATTAACTGTTGTGGAAATCGTGGAGAGAGAATTGGAGAAGGTGAAAATGGAGGGGCCTGGTTCAGTGGTGTGGTTGGAACTCGAGGATCTTGACATTGATGACGATGTCTTTGTGTCCCTTGATTTACCTACCAAATTTCCTGTAATGTCACCATCGCTCACATTCTAATCTCTTTCATGCATTTCTTTTCTTGAGAATTCCACCATTGATGCAACAATTTTACTTTTTGGTGCTCAAATTCTATAGGACTTAATTGCACTTAGTCTGTGCAACAACAAGCTTAAGTTCACCGAGACAATCACGAAGGAAATTGTGAAGTTCAAACACCTTAGAGCTCTCTGGCTAAACAATAACCCAATCCTACAGAATTTGTAAGTGATTGGTGAAGTTTTTTAACTCATAGCTGTTGGTGTGAAACAGTAAAAGAGATAAAACTGAAGTACTTTTTCCTCTAGTGGTGATCATGTTGCAGATGCTATTATTCATGATTTTCCAAGACTTGAAATCTTGAACTCATCTTTTACACGAAAATACACGGGCTGGGCTTTGGGTTTCTGTGGAGGAATTTATGACAAAGACAATCCGGGATGTGGACATGAGGATGATAATCACTTGTTGCAGGGTTTGACTTCTCTTGACCTTTCAAACAGACGTATTCACAGCCTACACATGGTATAATCAGATCATCATCCACAGTTACATTTATTTCCAACTATTCAATGGTTTTCTACTTATTATTTACTTCCACTTTGCAACTTTTTTTAGGGGTTTTCACCTGATGCTATGCCATCTCTTTCCCACTTAAATCTTCGAGGAAATCCATTAGATGATCACTCTGTATCTGATTTACATGAACATCTAAAAGCCTTTACCAGCTTACATTCGATTGAGGTATCTTCAATCACTAAAGCTCTCATCTTTATAAATATTTACTAATTCTAGGTATATGACAGGTGGACATTCCTGGACCTCTAGGAGACAGTGCAATCAAGATTGCTGAATCTCTTCCTAATCTTTCTTTACTAAATGGTGTAAACACATCAAAAATTTTAGAATCTGGAAAAAGTGTGATTGATTCAATGCTTCTTCCTCGTCTTCCTGAATGGGATTCTGGTGAACCCTTAATTGATCGTGTCTTGAATGCCATGTGGTTATACTTAATGTCTTATAGATTATCAGATGAAGAGAAGATTGATGAGACTTCTATATGGTAAGTATAACAACTCAACAGTCAACACCCTTAATACATTTAACATTTTATCAATATCACGTAAATGATTTTTTTTTTTTTTTTGTGGCATTATTTGTAGGTATGTGATGGATGAATTGGGTTCAGCTCTTCGACACAGTGACGAGCCAAATTTCAGAGTATCACCATTCCTATACATGCCCGAGGGAAAACTTGAGTCAGCAGTGAGGTCAACATATCTTATTACCATGGTTAGAGTCTCTTAACCATGATTACAATCTGATTATAATGGATTGCATTTTCAGCTTCACGATTCTTTGGCCTACAAAAAATGTTGAAGATGGTGATGAATGCACTCGTGATTATTTATCTGGGATTGGAGAAAAGAAGCAGCGTTCTGCTAGACTAACAGCTTGGTTTCATACACCACAAAAGTACTTTATCAGAGTATGTTTTTGACTTTTTTCTATACTAAGATCATCATTGTAAATTATGAAACGATCTTTAATGTTTACATGTCATCAATTATACAGGAGTACGAAACATTTTGGCAGAATTTGAGATCAATAAGTTCTTCACCAGTTAATAAGGCATCTAGAACTGGTAGTCTGGCACGCAGTGATAGATGTCCTCTTCGTGTTTATACAGATATTCCACAGGTGGAAGAAATCTTGACACACCCAGGATTTATAATCAGTACGTGTTACTTACTATGGGATTTTGATGTGAGCTCTTTATTGAAAATTATTATTGTTCCTGTTTTTAATTTTATGTATTTTTTTTATGGTTATAGCAAGTGACCCAAAGGAAGCGGATATAATATGGACAAGCATGCAGGTGGATGAAGAAATGAAGAAGGCTGTAGGTCTAAATGATCAACAATGCATGAATCAATTCCCTTTTGAAGCATGTCTTGTTATGAAACATCATTTGGCAGATACGGTTCAGAAGGTAATAATAATTGGGGATTGGTTTCCATTTTGTATATATATACATGATGAAATTTTTGGTTACATGGAGTGATGGATACATATTATTTTTACAGGCTTATGGATCTCCTGAATGGTTTCAGCCTACTTATAACCTTGAAACACAATTAACACAGTTTATTGGAGATTATTATGCACGTGAAAACAAAGGGGATGACAATTTGTGGATTTTGAAGCCTTGGAATATGGCAAGAACTATAGATACAACGGTTACTGGGAATTTATCTGCTATTATACGGCTCATGGAGACTGGCCCTAAAATATGTCAAAAGTATATAGAAAGCCCAGCTTTGTTCAAGGGGAAGAAGTTTGATCTTCGGTATATTGTTCTTGTTCGCAGTATGAACCCATTGGAGCTATTCATCACCGACATTTTCTGGGTATGTAAAATATAGTCAAAAGGGTTGCTGGATTTAATTCATTATTTACACACACACTTACACTTTTTTTTTTTCAGGTGAGACTAGCAAACAACACGTACACTTTGGATAAGAAGAGTTTGTTTGAGTATGAGACACATTTCACTGTTATGGTAAATCATTTTGCTTGCTTCTCTAGTCCTACTAATCTTATTAGTGTAATGGCTAATGGTGGTGTTATTTTCAAAACTATCAGAATTACAGGGGAAAATTGAATCATATGAACACACCAGAGTTTGTAAAAGAATTTGAGCAGGAACATCAAGGTTTGAATGTCTTACCTTTTCTCTAATAAATACTTTGTTCATTCCATTCCATTCCTTTGTGGTTCATAGCAAACAGACCTTTGGTTCTTAAGAATGATCTTGTTTGATGATTGCAGTTGAATGGTTAGAAATTCATTCAAGAATTAAACAGATGATTCGAATGGTGTTTGAATCAGCAACTCTAGTCCACCCAGAGATGCACAGTCCAATGTCTAGGGCTATGTATGGTGTGGATATCATGCTTGATCGCTCTTTCAAACCCAAGTTATTGGAGGTATGTACATATGTTTTTAATTTAATTCTTCTTCTTTAAACTTATATCATACACATATATAATGGTTTTTATTAACAGGTTACCTATTGTCCGGATTGCACTAGAGCTTGTAAATATGACATGGAAGCCATTACAGGTGGAGGCGAGATCATCAAAGCTAAAGATTTTTATAACTACGTGTTCGGTTGCTTGTTTTTAGATGAAACAACTCATGTATCCGCATTATGAAAACAAACCAGTAACTCTAGATATATTTATCATATTGTAACATAATTGTATTTGTTTTAAAAAAAAACAACAGAACAGATTTTTTCTATTTTACAAACTTGTTGCAATTCTGGTCATATGTTACCGGAGTGGATGACCCATGTTTTGGAGGGTTTTGAATGATGTCATCTTTTTCTGTAATTCCAGTTTGGACATGCGTTCAAGCTCCAATGCTCGCTCAAGCTTTGCTGCTCTGGTACTCCATTCTGCTAGTATGCCTCTCAGTCTTTCATTTTCCTCCATATACTTTATTTATATTTCATTCACAATAAATAATAAAGACTTTAGAATACAAGTAATATATATAATTTCATTAGTCATGATGAGATAATGAAAAAAAAAAAAATAGACACCTGATTGTTTGTATTACGTGCACTCTGGATCTCTGCCTCCTTTTCAGCAACCAGAGATCGAGCAAGTCTTAATTCAGATTGCAGTTGATTCATCTAGATGTACATATATATTTTTAATAAAAACTTATCCCACAAAATTCAACATAAATGACACAATTAGGAGGTTACCTCAGCTGAAAGTGTTCTTAACTCTTGATCGCGAGCTGCTAATAAATGAGCAAGATCGACCTAATAAAACAAGGCAGCTAATAATTAATTCTCTATAACATTACAAACTTTGTTTTAGTTTTTCATAAAACGAAATTTTTATTACCTGAGGTGTCATGCCATCACCAGATTTCTCATATTTGCTTAAACATTCTTGCAATCGAAGAATCTACATCGATAAAAAAAGGTTTGGTTTGAAAGGTGTTGGTTATTATTTGCTTAATCATCATGGGAAATTTTCTGTTATTTACCTCCTCACTTAAAAAGTTGAGGTTTTCTCTTTGATACTGTAACAAAGCCATTTGCTGATCAGAGAGATAGCCACCACCATCGTGATACCTGTGATTAGTTTTTGTGATTCACTGATTCTATTCTGGGATAATAATCATATCATAATAATAATAATAATAATTGTTAGTGCATTCACCTCAAGCCTTCTAGAGAGTTTGATGGTTGAAGTGGAGAATGCAAGGACTTGACAACATCAGGTTGGGATTCTAGTGTATTGTACTGGTGTACATGACCTGCAGGTGTCAAGTCAAAATGTCAAATACAATTATTTCAGTTCGAAATTGAAATGAAGGAAAACTTGCCAATGTAGACTCCCATGAAAGACCCAGCAAAGATAGCTTCAACCAACATGATAATCCTGAATATAATTTTAAAAAATTATATATATATATATATATATATATATATATATATATATATATATATATATATATATATATATATATATATATATATATATATATATATAAATATTATGTTTTATTCTCTTAGATTGAAAGGGGAAGGGAGGTACCTGAGCATTAAAGGAATGGAAAGAATTCTTAGGTATGGCTCCCAAACCATGATAAGTAGCATTGCACATGTACCTAAAAAATGAAACAAAGTAGTTGAAATGACAGACTTTGACATTTGCCGTATTCACTCGTACGTTTTTTGTAGTATATATTCAAAGTAAACACTGCCATCAAAGGGCAAATGAACAAAATGCTTTTGTAGGAACTGTGTAACGAAGATAGACATACCATATGAAAAACTGGCAAAGGGCATACGAACAACATGCTTCAATTTTTGACTGAAAATATAGTAACCCTACATAAAAGAACATTAATGTTATGCAATCATCTTAGAACAACATCTCACATTTGTTTCATTCCACTCAAATCTGTTTAGCCAAAATGAACTTTTACAGTTGTACTTGTATAATTTTTAAAAAATATCCTCAAGTGATTAAAACATAAAGAATATAGAAGAAATACTACCTGTAATCTTATTTTCTGGACTTGATAAACCATATAGTGCTGGAAGATGCCTGTAAGGAAAACAAATCTTTGTGAACCACTAGTCGTCCAAAAATAAACAATAAAATAACACGAAACAAAAGAGAACACCTGTGATGATTAATAGAGTGACGTCACAGGTGCAGAGTATCTGTAATGTCAAGTATCTCTCAGATTGGAACACCCATGGAGCTCCAACACCTAGTATAGCATAACCTGACTAGAATCGAAGAGAATCAAACCAAAGATTAAGTCAACTCAAAAATGGAAGTGTTTAAAAATCTCTGATTTTGTATTCAAAAATCAGGAAATGATCACTTGCCAAAAGTATACAGTACAATATGCTACCAGCAATGCTTGTACTTTTCCGATCCCCATACGAAGGAGCCTCGTTCGATGCATCAAGGAATCTATGACAAAAGAGGAGACGAATCATGAATAGTACTAACTAAACTGGATTAGATTAGTTCATGTAATTACAGTGTAACTAATATCGATGTCATGACGCATTGAATAAGCAAGAGCAACGGAAACGAGACACATGATCCAACGAAAGGTTTAATTTTGTACTCCAAAGTCCAAAACACAAAATTACAGAAAAACTCGTAGTAATTTAGCTTAATTTGTCTGTCTAATCAACTGGAGACAATCAAACGATAACATAACGCCGATACAACACTCTAATGATAGAATCATAACTTCGAGAATCGGCATTGTAATAGAAACATAAACTGTAAGCTATCATAATAAATACAACTTACAGATAATTATCGTCTGGAGATGCAAGGTTGGAAGCAGCGTATCGGTCCGTGGACATGATCTTCGGACCTAAATTAGGGTTTCCAGATTCCACTTCGATCTTTCAGACGATTCGAATAAGAAAGTATTGTGTGTGAATTTGCAGTAATGATCGTCTGTTTTCGGTTAAGAAACTGAGAACGAATGAGTATATCGCCGATGGAAATCGAACAAACCCCAGAGCAAAATTATTACGGGTTTCCGTCGGGTGATAATGACCCAATTCGCCGTCTGATTACAGTTCCTTCTTCTCCTTGGTAGGATCTAATATAAGTTTGGGAAATTCTATTTACATTCTCCCCGTTTATTTACACTCTCTGTCGAGTGTCGACAATTCTCCTTCTTCCTTTCCTTTTATTATTATTCCTTTATCCTTTATTATTATTATTATTATTATTATTATTATAAATCGTTTTATTTATATTTTTATTTAATGAGCAATGTTGTTTTTAGAATTTTTAGGAGTTGTGTCATGGTTGCTGACAAAATCAATATCTAATTGAGTTAGATCGAACCTCTTCTTATATGACCTATTAAAAGGTGTATCATGGTTATTAAACCCGATAAAATTTTTTAAATAGTGACATCAAACAATCTAAATGTGATAAAAAACTTCAAATTGTAACATCCAACAATAAACAATGAATGTGATAGAATATGATCCAACATCTAACCAAACCCAATAAAAAACATATCAATAAATCTGATCTCATTATAAATCTAATTTGAATTTGATCCAACATCTAATAAGATCCTATAGAAGATATATCAATCATTAATTAAATCCATAAAAAGCATATTAATTAGTCTTTTAAACTACAAATCTTACATGAGTTCATCACTCTATACACTAAGATATACTTTTTGTTAGTTCTTGAAATAGATATTTCTTTGTATTATTGGAATGTAAAGTTTACATATGTTATTTTCTTGAAATAGGAAAATAATTTACCATATTTTAAAGTTAAATAAATAACAATGTATATGTTGCTTATTAAACACAAAAATAATCGACTATTTAATTATTGCAATATATATATAAAAAAAAATCCGAACACTACCTTTTGCAGACTAATTTATGAATCACATCCAAAAATCAACTAAAATGAGATATTTGTACGTCTTATTATTTTATTCATATCCGTACGTCTTCTTAAGTCATGATAACCATGTTTGAAACACATCCAAAAATCAACTAAAATGAGATATTTGATGCGGAAAAAGTCTTGATAACTAATTCTTTGCCATTAAGTAAAGATTTCGCGTAACGCAAAATATCAAATACAATATTTAAAATACATCTGAAACATGTGCATGGACTGCGACAAACTTTGAAATGGGGTTCCTTTTGTACGTTAAACAGCATTTTGATTAAACTTACAAGTTACAAATAGAAAATAAACACGCCTCAAAAGATTTTACTATGCTAATATCACTACACATACGATCTATCCAAATATAAATTTGGGTTAAGCGTCATAAAAATTTGGGTTAATATTTTTAGGTTCTTATTACATCATTGTGGTAGATTGTTGTTAGAGATTTGGGGTTAAAAGTACTTGTAAATTCTAAGATTGTGTTTTACACTTTTAAATCGTAGTATTTTGGTGGTACTCTCAAATCCTTAATTAGATAATATTCAGAAGTTTGCGAGCAAGAAAAGAAAATGAGAAGGTATGTTTTTTCGTCCGTTGTACCAGATTTTTGACCAAAATTTGCGTAAATATGTCTTATGTCTAAAACTATCACAAGACAATTTCATAACTGACACAAAAACAGGGCATTAACCACTAGTGTGCCAAAACTATCACCAACAGTCAAACCTGATACAAAATGGTTGTTTTAACCACTGGATAATAGAGTAATCCGGCGAGTAAAACATCAAACTGTAAAACCAATATGAACTGTTCCAACACCTTCCGATGTGAGACGTTCCGATGCGTTTCGATGTGTTCCAATTCTAAGGAAGTGAAGAGTACCCGTTCCAACTAGTTTCAATCCATCGAAAATGAACAGTACCATTCCATCGAGTTCCGATTCATCGAAAGCTTTTCTATTCCAAAATCACTTCTAGTTCTGAAATCATTTTTGGTTCCGATATCAATTCCATTCTGAAATCATTTCAGTTCCAATATCATTTCCATTCCAAAATCATTTTCGGTTCTAATATCAATTCCATTCCGAAATCATTTTGCCCTTACTTTAAATCTTGTATAAACTTAAACAAGTGTGTACTCGAGACCTTCCTTACATGTTTAATATTCATCAAAATTGATTTTGGTCAACAAGTTAATCCATTACACTTAAATATAAT